AGCTGCTCAAAAAGCGGCAAGATCTATTGAAACAAGGCTTCACAATTTAAGCCAAGAAATGTCTGCTCTTTGCACACAAACAAAATGGAGCCATGATTATAAAGGTAGTCCCAAATCCAACAAGAGGAGCGGTTTCTAAATGGGGGGGGAACAGGATAGACCTTTGTGTTAACATAGAAAAAAAAAAAAACCTTTACATAATACAGCAGATTGTCTTTGAGGATAGCACAACATATTTCATCAATTAAATTGGAAACAATTAAAACGCATATCAGTAGTATTTTGGGCCTCATAATAAAGTCTCTGTAGAAGCAGACTGCAAATGCTCTTGATCAGAGTCAGAGACAATAATAGTAACCAGAATCTTCTCTAGATGGCGTTGGACCCCTTTTTAAAATCTGCTAGCACTGCCTCTTGTGGATGACATCAGTACTGAATGCCTATGATTAAACCGTTACATTTAAAAACTTGAGGAAATGTTCAAAGAAAAGCCCAAAGGCTAAAGCTGTCACATAATTTACTTTGCTGCAACCTGCTGATCCTATTATAAATGAATAAGAGAGACTGGGTCACACTTACAAGTTGTGCCATGGCTCTAAAATCTGATACTACTCTACAAAAGAAACAGTGCACATGAAGTAAGCTGTGCTATCCTCAAAGGCATAAGGCAGAGATCAGTGTGTAAGGGTTACATATGAACATATGTTAACCTCAACAATGTAAACACCCCAATAGTATATCTTGGGTACTCCAAAAACCAGCTGCTGAGAGAGCAGGAGAGGTTTAAATAGCCAGAAGCGACTGAGTGTAGAGCGTACGTGAGACACACAGGAGTTAGCAATGCAGCACTTAAAACTCCAGCGTGTTAATCCTTTCCATGGATTCCGATGGAATAAGGAAAATAATTCTGCTGAATAGTGTGCTATGCTCAAGGAATAAAGTCCTTAGACATTTACCTCGGTGTTCCTAAAGATCGCTCTTTGGCTATTCTCAGAGACTGGCACACACTGGAGACTATGCCACAGACCTGGACTTGTAAAATTATGTGGCTAACAAACCTGTACACTAGTTGTCTGAGAAGCATCACAAGTAAAGCCCAGACTAGGCCTTGGCACTGAAATCTTAATTCCAGCTGGGAAACTTTTCTCCAAACAGAAAAGCCGCCTATCCTCCGAGGACACTAGCAAAAAAACTGAAGCATGATGGAAGTGGGAGTGTTTATACCCAACTGGCCAGCAGCTTGGTTTGCCATTGTCTAATTTCGCCTAAAGACAGCAGTATAACCCATTTGTCTCTAATTTACATCCGATTCAGTGTTCCTTAATCAATGATAAAGATATGGGGCTTGCGATTGCTGATCTTTCTGAAAACACAAGTTGCCCAACCTGCTGATTTTCTGGATTCACTAATGAAAATTTGAGATCCAGAAAAAGCATAGTCTGCAAATATGTTTCAGGCCAGCGACTCAAAAGAGAGATCATCAGTGGAACAAACCAAGTGATACACTGGTTGCAACTTTGTCGAAATGGGAAAACCCCATTGAAAATTAAAACATTGGTTTCACACTGGAAGCCTGGTTCTTCATCCAATAAGTAGGCACGTGACACAGGAAGCTTTAATAAGAAACTATCTTCCAGCTGCCTATTCAGGGAGCAGGCATGTTTAAATCACAAGACTGGCTAAACCAAATAAATCCATTGGGGTGTATATAGTTTGTATATAAATACCTAATATTGAATGTGTATTTAGTTGTTTGCTGTTAGTTTCCTCTAGAGCCCAGCTCAGCAGCGATGTGGCAAGAATATTGATTGAAGAAAAAAGGGTGGATAGCCTTTCACATCAGAGTGGACAAAATACATCTATCCACAAACACTAGCAAAAACTGAGCAATGATGAGAGTAAGAGGGTTCGTCTATGAATTTTGTGTCCCTCGGTGGACCAGAAACAAAACTGACTGAGCAAGGATGAAATTAGACAGTGAGGCAACCAAGAAGCCAATAATGACTATTACAGAGTGGAGAACTGTCCATGGGACAGCTACAATAAAATGCTTCTCTGCTTTATGGAAGAGTAAAACTCATGAAAACGCCCCGATACAAAGCGCCGACGGCAACATGCATACAAAACAAAAATAACCTTATTCTCTCGCCCCCACCCATTTCTTTTACTAAACATAGCATGTGGAATTACCTTCGAACTAGCCGTAGTATACTAAGACAGCCATAATTCTTATCAATATGCAGAGGGTGGAGAGGGGCTGTAGTATACTGAACGGGATAAAGGCAGAGCTAGGGAACTAATAAAAAGAATAAAAAAAAAAAAAAAAAAAAAAGGGGGGGGGGGGGGGTTACTTTTGGTCGGGGAGGGCTGGGGCCCAGAGTCACTCCGTCTCTCTCATATTATGGTAGAGTTTGTATAATCTAACCAGGGATCCCGCTTCCCGCGTATTAAATTTTTTTTAAATACGAGCAGCTGCCTAAGGACCGCATTTGCTGGGGACTTCATGGAGGCTGTCTCTTACAGTGCTGGTCCGGCCGCACATTTCCTCCTCCTTCCCGCCACCTAGACCCACCCAAACAGCCATGTAGTGACCCTGAACAGCCCTATAAAGACCCGCGCCTGCCCGCAGTCCTGATGACACTGCATAGCCATAGTGAGACCCATATGCAGCCCTGGTGACACCGCACAGCCATGGCGAGACCCATAGCAGGTCTATAAAAAGGGTGTCATAGTCACAAGCCTCTATTTTGCACTTCATATAATCGCTGCTGTTTGCTGTAAGGCACAGAGGTGATAGACCAATATGTTTTTAAATATCCTGCCCATCAAAGCCCATGAGAGTGGATGAGCAGGGAATGAAAGGCCAGATGTGATGGGTGGTTACATCACTTAAAAGGCAGCGCTGACAAAAGCAACTGGAAGCCTGGATTATACACCGAGTGGCCAGATTATTATGACCACCCCATCAGTACTTCGTTGTTCCACGAGATGACTTCGTTGGGCCACCTTGTGACTCCACGAGATGTTGAAAGGTGATGCGAGGAATCTGACACTGCACTGTTGCCTTTCTGTTGTCTTGTACCAGTCTCGCCACTTTCCGTTCTGCCCTAACATTGACTAGTCGCTGACGGCCACAAGTCGCATGTTCAGACCCAGATTTTCGGCTGACAGTCCACTCTTTAAACACTTTAACAACAGCTGCTCTTGAACATTTAACGAATTCTGCTGTTTTGCTGATACTCGCTCCATGGCTCAGCGCGCCAACAATCATCCCACGTTCAAAGGCTGTTAAATCGCGTTGTTTACCCATATCTTCAGAAAAAAATCACTTCTACTGTCGTAGCAAACAACCTGCTTCCCTATTTATAATGGTCTGGCCCTCCAGCAACTACAGAGCAAAATTATAGCTAATTTGCCTACAAACGTCAGGTGGTCATAATAAACTGGCCACTCAGTGTATGGGGAGAGCAGGCAATCAGCGGTGTAAAATGGAAGTAGCTCAAATAAGTGAGAGAGACCTTTGTGGAGCATTTATTAAGGATAGACAAAATGCAGTAAGGGAATGCATTGCTTTTATTTTTTTGGACAATCTTTGTTCTACATGTAGCCATATAAATTGCAAATACAAACATTTTTAGTCAAAGAAAGAGCCAACAAGCCAGTCATGTGTAATCAGTATTTTATTGCCATGCTACAAAATGATGTTGGCACCAATGACATGAAATGAAAAATGTATTCGTTATGAAAAAAAAAAATTTTTTTAATGAACATTTGGTAAGCAATATCAGTACCTGATGCACACCAAAATTAAATTAAAAGCAACTATTCAGAATGGAACACAGTTTTCTTCTTAGATAAAAAAAGTCTGCATAGTATAATTTGCTTGAACCCTTCAGTGCAAACAGCAGAAGCAACTCTGAAAAACATGGTAATCCAAGAAAAGACAACCTTCAGCACTCAGTTGGCTCAGCATAATGCATGACGGAGAAACAAAGACTGCCAATTCTCTTGCTGCGCGCTTCCTAGCATTTGAAGGGTCACATATCAAGACAGTATCATGGAATGTTAAGTCCAGATATAAACCTAAGATTTTTTTTTTTTAAATGTCATGGAACGTTTGGCAATGCACACCTACATATCTTTAAAAAAAATCTACATTTTCTACACTACCTTTTATACAAAAGTTAATGTTTATATATTTTTAAGTATGAAAAAAAATTTGAATTTATAATGCAAATTAGGAACATACAATAATCTTACAATATCATACAATGTGATAAAAAAAAAAAGGGGGAAATCATTTTTGGCCTATACAAAATGTATATATGTCTGCATTATATAAATGCAACCCTGACATACTGTAACTAAAAACACCAAACCTTCGCGCATAGAACTAGATTCCTAAACCACCAAAGGCCTGCCATGAAAATTAAGACACTGACAGCCGCTTTGGAAGAATAGTCTGAATAGTGCTTCATGTGCAAAAAAATAAAAAAGGAACACGCTTCAATGCCGTTGCATGTCGGAAGGCTGACGGCCAACACTTTAACACAACGTCAAAAAAGTAAATATACAGTCGTACCAATGGCCTCAATGCATAATGCTGGTGCGACAAATTTGGCAAATTTCTGGACTCATAAAAAGTTAGTATAAAAATACATACTTGTATATAATTTCACACATTCATACTGTAAATGACATCCCAAAAAATAAAGTTATCTTTAGCTTTAAATGGCAACAGTCTAGATGCAAAAACATAGGCAAATGTCTAGTAAGTAAAATTGGCATGTCACTGCAACCTAACTTAATTAAATAAGTAAAAAAAAAAAAGGCAATACAGCTATGCAACTATACAGTACAAACTACTACTGTAGAGTGAATCTTATTTAGGAGTACCTGCTCTACATAAATTCCCTTTAGACGAAAGCACATGAGAAAAAAAAAAACTATGAAATAGTGTTAGTGTTTAAGACGTGAAGGGTAGTTTTTTTTTTTCTTCCATTTTTCTTTATGCAGGTATTTGTCCTTTGTAAAAGAAGTACACAAAAAGGTGCAAATGGCATAAACCTGCTCACATGGGTAAGTCAGTACTGTTGTGTCTAGTCTTTCTAGAAGTACCATCATCACGTGGCAGTGCTTTCTGCAGGTTGGACATAGCAGCAGTTCTTTCAATGTCTATCACAGCATACAGCTCCGTGCGCCTTGTAGGAGTTTGCGGAAGAGGAGTGGTAGGGGTTTTCGGTGTCTGGGGGTTGTCAGAGTCACTGCCACCTTCCAAATCAACCTGTATATAATTAAGCTGCCTATGTTCAAAGCTTGGGCGTCTGATATCAAAATTAAAAACAGTTGGCGAACAGTCCCGACGTCTAGAAAACTCAACTTTGTGAGCACTTAGTGGGACAGTTACGTTCTCTGTGTTTACATAATTATGCATGGGGTCTAGGCTATTATGAAATCCATTTATAGATGGTGTCTTTGGTCCTAACAAATCTTCCTCCTCCTTGCTGGATTTCCGGGCTTCCCAAACAGGAGGAAGAGATGGTAAATTTTCATAGTTTATTAATGCAGTTCTCCTCTGGGCAGAGTTATTAATATTTTGGACATCTGTGGGGAGAGGTGGTGGAATACGTCCCCTCCTTGGCCCAGAAGAAGATAATCCATTAACATTTTCATACACCATCTTAATGCCAGAAGGGGTATCTCGGCGTTCATCACTGTCATAACCAGTGTCCCACTCTGTGTTATTAGGGCAACTGCTGCTACCCTTTGCGACAGCTTGTTGTTCGTCAAGTTTCTCCAGTTTTTTTTGCTCCATCATTTGTCTTTGAACAGGAGTTGGTCCTAAAACAAACTTTACTCCTTCGGGTTCCAGAATAACATGGGGGTCTCCCTCTGGGATGGAACTGGGTTCATCTCTGGCTGAACTTTCTTCCACATTGGAAAGAGGTTGCTCGAGTGGTGTTGGTATACTTTGCCTTTGATCTTCTTGCACCCCAGTTGTGTTGACATACGTATGCACCTTGAGAAAAACACAAAAAGTAGAGTCAATATAGAAGCAACGCTTATAAATGGAAAGCCTTAGCCCATAAGTGTCAATTTATGGCAGATGGAAGCCACCATTCCCTAACTCATGTGCAAGTAGTAGTTTGGGTTAAACGTGTTCACCCAAGTCACTGTACTGGAAGAGGGCATGTTATTTGAATTGTAGCTTCCACTGGAGTCTCATGACACAGGCAATTTTGCTTTAAAACGGCATTAACATTTAACAGTGAGGCACAATTCAAAAGTTGTTCTTTCTCTAGAATGAGAAGAGACTAAAGTAAGGAGAGCACCTTGACGAGGACGACAGCTGAGAGACAGGTAACCCCGTGAACAAGGAACAGTATAAGAAGGTGAGGAAACTGTAGATTCCCCTACCGGACTGTTGGAAAGACATTCTCTACTACAGCACATGCCAACTGTGATCTCATCAGGAGGTTGTCTGATGGGTGCCATGAAAAGGCACTGGGAACAATACTGGGGCTAGAACCCTGGAAGGAACTCTAGCTGCAGGGACGAGGCATGAGAGTTAAAGCCCCAACGGGACAGTGAACAGTCTTTACACACCCTGGCTGAGGAGAGATCCCTCTGGAGAGGGGACTTGCAAGTACTAAAGAAGATAGGTCTAATCTGTGAGGAAGAGCCTAGAGCAGGTTGGGATACAGTTTCTAAGTCTCAACTGGTACACTAGTTATAACAAGAACCTTTAGATCCAGTATACCTCAAGGGGACAGAAGTATATCTGCTAATCCCTGCAATGGCACGCCAAGGTATAAGGTGAGGAGCTGAAGAGACCGTGTTTGTTAGAGTTCAGTCTTCAGGTTAACATTTCCAACACTAATATGCAGCACAGACTTTCACTACTGCAAGCAAAGCTCCTACCGTAATGTAAGGAAAAGCAGTGGTCTTTGAAGGGCTTGTAAATATCCAAGTATTTTTTTCCCTTTAAGGGCCTGTTCACACGATGTCCGTTTTCTGTGCTGACCTGATCCGTACGCTCCTGCACTAAATATGCATCCCTATGTGTTTTATGGACTACAGTTCTCACGTGCGGAGTCCGTTCAGTTTACGACAGAAATATACTGCATGTCACATTTTGTACGGCCAGGAAACGGTCCGGAAACGCAAAACGCGTCAAAAACGCACTGCAGCTAACATATGAAAGCCCCACTCCAGCAACGCATCAAAAACGCGGCCAAAGCGCACTGCATCAGTCTGCAGATCCGCACCTGATCAGGACCCGATATCATGTGAACAGGTCCTAAAGAATACCAGTGGCATCTTCAAATATAGCATACTGGCCACAGACTATATTCTAGTTGCTCCAAAGCATCTTCACTTTATTTCCAAAGTGCCCGGGGGGTACCAAGACTGGGCTGAAGGGCAACCATCTAATTTCTGTCCAGCATTTGCATAATTATTTAGGGGCTGCTCAGGCACAGTAAAGATATGTGCAACAACCTGGAAGTTTCCGTTTTACAGTTTACAATATTCTATAAAGCCACAGGCGCAACCTAAATACACAGATCATAGACATACTATAAAGCTACTTACATGGTCTTCAGGGGCAAGTAAAGGGTGTGTAGACTCCTCTCCAACAGAAGGAAGGCGTGTGCTCCCAACAGATGGGTGTCTACTTGAGGGGTGTGAAGATGCATCACCAAAAGATGGGTAACGTGGATATCCATTAGGTATACTTGAACCACTAAAACCAGGAGCTGCAAAAGAACAAGCAAAGCAGATTACATAAGTACAGAGACTGTACTTTAACCTCAAACAGCCATTAAAGACTAGCATCCACACTGCCTAAAGGCTTTAAATTGATGAACCATTTTAACGTAATCCTATGCTGCACATATGGAAACTTCGTGTCACCTCTAGTCTTGGAGTTTGTGAAATGGGTAGAGAACCATATCTGTAGTTCCAAGTCATAAGGATATTGCTTCTGCACTAAAATCAAGCCCTATGCCAGTTTTCTGTATTTCTATAAAATCTACATTTTATGATTAGACAATATTACATTCCCAGCTATTACCATTATGAGCAATTCCTAGGAATACATGAAGGCATTAAGCAATTCTATGCAGTAAGCACAGAAACTGTTTCTTAGGTCAAAAAGCTTACTTACAGCTAAAAAAAAGACAGCAATACCTGACAGGGGCGTAAACTGTTTTTATTTTTTCTTTGGGGGGGTGAGCAGCGGAATATAGATGCACTTTAGTCTGAGATCCGTGTAATCTCCTCCAAAATAAGCAACCACAGCTATAGCGCATTCTAGGTTGGATGGACTTTTTATGACTTGTAGCAATGCTCTACAGCCAGCATTCTTAATATACATCTGGTGCCACCATGGCTTAATTTACTGAAGGTGTAATCACTCCAGTGATATCAGTACTTAACTGTTTGGTGTGGGTTTATGGATGTTGAATGTATTTACGTCATATCGTTTCTGTGGTTCCAGCTTCACAGTGGACAAAGAGGAGAAAATGGCACCTTAACATTTTAGTAAATGATGATTCAAAAGTTCTTACTTGTGGGGGTGCGTGGAGTTCTTGGGACATCAAGCTCTGTCTGAGGACTTCTTTCCACCACTGGTTCTTCTACAACACTTATACTATTATTTTGCATGATTTCTTGCAACATATTAAAAAGCTCTTCTGCACGAGCACATTTAAAGGCAAATATTCCTGGAAATTAAAAAAAAAGGGGGATGAGAACTTCCATCACAAAACAGCTAAAATGCAAATTACACACATTCTGGGATATTCACAACACTACTGACCAGTCACTGTGACAAGAAGAAAACACAACATACTAAGATATCCTGCATAAGGAAAGCAATAACACGAGGTAGAGGTTGTATGCTTGGTACATGAGGATGCAAAATACTAGGAAACATTGGGGCCTCTAAAAGGACTAAAGAGCAGTGGCAGTTATTTAGCTATGTAGTCATGCTATGCGATGAACTATTTATTTGTTTTAATCCTTGTTGTAGTGAAAAGTAAGCAAATGCCCCTTTCATGTAGGCCTCTGGGAGAGATGGGAGAGGAAGAGAAGACAGACAGTACAAAGGAGGCATTGATATTGATGTACCAGGCCTCTTTGGACAGCAGAGGGAGCCCAACTTACCAGTACCAGCAAAGATAACCAGTGAGGTCCCAACTTTGGATTGCTCTTCCTTTTGCAAGCATTAAGTTAAAATGAACATTCTTGTTACGAAAGGATCTTTAATGTACGATCTGATTTTCGATCCTTGCCTTGAGTGCTCATCCAAAACATGCAACATCTTACATATGAGCCCATCTTGTCTAACTGATGTTTACTAGATATTAAAAGGACAACTGTACAATAACACCAAACTGCATCAACTAACCCTCTTGAACTAATTTACACTAGCACCCTCTACCTACCCAGCAAAGCCACATCCTGTCATCACCATTTAAATCTTCTTTACAGAAATCCTACCCATTGCCAGCAATGCATGTGCACTGAGAAGTCATAGACCTGTATGGTGGGCTGTCCTGGATGCTGGACTTATGTTCCAAGACTGTCTCATATAAGTTTATGAGGGCTCAGCATATATGGTGCAGTCAACGCTGAAGAGGCTTTCTGCCGATTAAGAGTAAACAACGCTGCAGGATGTAGTACTGATACAGAGGTAAGTAAGCAGCTGGGGTGGGAGCTGTTTATGTAGATTAGATCAGGGGGCGGGGGGGGGGGGGGATGTAGGTAAGTTTAGTGTAAATGTACATTTGGCCTTTGGGGAAAAAAAAGAGAAAATTCTTAAGCCAAGCCTTACTTTTATACAGATCAGTCAAAGCAATTCTTTCCTTAGGAGCTTTTGCAAATATACAAATAACTCATTTGTGAAGCAAAGTCAATGGGTGGCCTGCCACCCCAGTGCTTTCATATTGACCATTAATGCAGACCAATATTAAAACGTGTTACTTTAAAGTGTATATAAGCCCCCCAACTCATATTTGCTCCCTTTTGGTGTGTTAAATATACTATCAACACTGTTTTGTTAAATGCTTCTGCCACGCATCTTTTGAGCTGATAATTCCCTGTCCACTCTGCCTGTAATGCACTCTTATCAGTTACTGTATTTTTCGCTCCATAAGACACACTCCCCCCCCCCCAAAAAAAAGGCGGGTGAAAATGTGCGTCTTAGGGAGCGAATCCCTATTGCCTGACGCCCGAAAACATGCAGTTTCCGGTGCCGGCCGAGTCGTTTTTTTGTACATTTAGCCCTGCTAAAGCAGATCTAAATGTACAGTGGGAGCCGTTGCTCGTTTAATACAAGTAATCTAACAGAATCCAACAGAACTTTCTAAAAAGAGAATAGCCTGTGCTGCTGCTCTATCTCTCTTCTCATCATAAACTGGGGCAGCTTCTTGGCAAGCTACAGTATATTGCATAACTGCAGTGCAGAAAAATTAGGTCAGGCACCTGGCTATGTAGAATGGCAGGTGTGGGTGAGCCTCAAGTGCTGAACAGAATATTACTGTATAGATAACAGAATTGTAAAACTTAACATATTTGCTTTGCTGAAAAGGAGGATCAAAGCGAAGACTGGCTAACCCCCCCCCATGCCTAGACTTTTGGTCACATGTCCTGGACATGAGGTTGCCTGTAGCTTTTTCTTCAGAAAAAATATGCTTTTTACGTGTTTATTAATTCGGTTTTTTTCAACTCAGCAGAAAAAGAAACAGCTTTAAGCTAACAAAATACAGACCTGCTTTAAACAGGATGGACAGGTTCAATAACCAACTATGATGGAAGAAGAAAAGGCAGGCCAGCTTTGGACTTTGCTACCCAGAGTTGGCAGCTGTTCAAGTGCCCCAGGTTTTTGGGGTCTTGGGATGCTTATAAAAAGACACTGAAAAGTATTTTCAGGCACGAGAAGGTGTCTACTTTATATTAAATATTGCCCCTTTACAAAACTATTTCTAAAGAAAGGTTCGCTTTATCTAAACATACCCATCTTTAGGTATATTTTCTTTAGCTTTAATAACAAAAAAGCAAGATCATTAAGGGAAGCAAAATCAAGGGGAAAAAGTTGAAGTACCTGGAAAGTCAACAGGGTATACAAGCTAACATTGTAATATTCATAGCTGAAATGTTATTCTTGCCTCTAGCTGCACTGTCTCTGTGTGCACTAACACAGTAGCATTCGCCGTCTTGCCATTCGTCCGATACAAATCTGTAGGTTGCTATTAATACCAGACTGTCACAATGAGATACTAAATATTATGCTGCATCACATAGGTCTACCATTAAGGTGCCACGAAACTCAGGAGTTAAACCTTAAAAATACATTCAGGTACCCTATTAACAAAAATGTATCTTATTTGTGTATCACTCAGCTGTAAATCCTCAAATCATCTCTGAATTGGTGCTGACACTGTCCTTCCTTCTGGAGGGTGGCTACTTTTGGTCCCCATGGTCCCTGTGTGTGTTGTAAAGTATCCACCACTCCAAGCTCACTCCTGTGATGGACTACAATCTCAATACAAATTACAAGCTAAAACGTGAGATTGTAGACCATCACGGGAGTGATCTTGGAGCGGTGACTACTTTACAACACACAGACACAGACTAGAAGTAGGACTATTTACAATTGACTGTAAAGGGACTAAAACAGAAGTAAAATACAATCAAGTTAACAAAGTCATAGTCTGTATTTACAGATATTGATTTAAATATTTTCATGTGAAAAAGTATTGTGTTTCATTGTGGTAGAAACAGAGCAGTTACTATTGCTTCCACTATTTTAATTTCACAAATCACTAAAAAAAAAAGTCTATAAACTCACCTTGCCCAGTCTGGCACCGTCGCCCACTTTCAAAAGAGAAAAGGTTTGAATCGTATCCATAGCGGCGTAGGCAGAGGTAAGGCCATTTGACCGAGTCGCGCTTACGTGTGTACAAGATAAGTTCATTTTCTGTTAGTTCCATCACGCCAGAGCCCAACTCATTACCATCATCATCCACATTAATAACCTTTCAAAAAAAAAAACACATACATTACCAAACTATAAAGTTTACAGTGAAACTCCCTTTATTTAGCTCCAGGAAACAAGCTGAATCAATCAGTGAGCTACTACTGCTATCTAGCAAACACTTGAAACATTGTAAAATGAACGTCACGTGTATTTCCACTTCTGCAGTCAAATGTGAAAAAAAAATACCCTGTGTGTGTTTCTTATGTGTTCCTATATCTAAACTTACCTTTCTAGGAGGTTTCTTTGGAGCAGGCATTTGGGCAGACTGCAAGCTGCCCTGCACAATTTGAAACGTGGAGAGGGAAAAAATGGGGACAGCCTCCATTTCCTCTCATTAACATACAATTCAGAACATAACCCTTGAGAGCTTTCATCTTTTGTTCGGACAGACAGTGTTCAAAACTAGTTTTACAACTGATAATAAGATAAGCCAGCACAGTACAGACTTAATTATGGGAAATATTAACTTCCCAGTCACCTCCTTAACATTACAAACTTCAGTTTTGGAATTCTCAGAAAAGAGGTAGTGAATATGTAAGCAGCCATTTTGTTCATAAATGTTGTTTTATGAATGTGAATGAACATGTGACAAATATAAAGTAGGTGTTGTGCCAATTTGGCTGCAAAAGTGGAAATACATTTTAGTCCAATTCATCTAAAATTCGCTATTGCTAAAATACAGAGCAGTTCACAATTTCACAGTGAGTGATTCTTCTTCTGTGGCCAACTCCCTATCTCTATGCTTCTCCTAACACTAGTCACACCCTAATTTCTGAAGTAGGTTTGATTATAACTGGTGGCTGATTGTAAGAGGCATGACCTTTACTCAGTTTTTCTGATTTTATAAAGCTACATGCATCCAATAATATTAGATTAGCACACACATTTGGAGTTCACCAAACAGATGTGGCATACTCCCTAAACACACGGAAGGTTTTCTGGTCAGATAAGATCGTGGGAAACGCTCTGTGTGGTGCAAACCCAACACTTCCCATCACCATGAGAACACCATCCCCACAGTGAAGCATAGTGGTGGTAGCATCATGCTGTGAGATGCTTTTCATCAGCAGGGACAGAAAACTGGTCAGAATTGAAGGAAAAATGCAGCTAAATAATACAGGACATTTCGTAAAGAAAACCTATTTCAGTCTACCACAGATTGGACATTTGAATTAGGGATGCACGGATACCGTTTTTTTTGTATCAAGTACCGATATTTTTCTTTATTAGTATATCAGTACTCGCCGATACAGAGTAACAATATCGACATCTCGAGGTAGCATGGCTTCTTGATTGGTTCGGAAGCTAGCTTCACGCTACCTTTAGACACTGCAAGGCAGCCTTGCTTCCTGACCAATCAGTAAGCCAGGTCATGACCTGTCACCCAGCTTCTTGATTGGTCAGGAAACCGGCTCTATGCTCCCTCACAGGAAGTTCAAGTATCAGGGTAAGTATCCTTGCATTTGGGACGAGTACTCTTACCGGCATCAGTGAATCCCAAACTTAAATGTCTTGGAACAGCCTAGCCAAAGCGCAGACCGAAATCAAATTGAGAATCTGTGGCATGACAAAGATTTCTGTATACCAACGCAATCCATCTAACTTGGAGCGGGAGCAGTTTTGCCTTGAAGAATGGCCAAAAAACCAAAGTGAGTATATGTGCTAAGCTAAGTGAGACACCCCAAGGCACTTGCAGCTGCATTGGCAGCTAATGGTGGCTCTACAAAGTATTGACTTTTTGGGGGTGAATACTTACACACACACACTTTTCTGAATTGTTATCTTCATTTTTGTGTTACAATAAAAATTAACTTGCACCTACAAAGTGGTAGGCATATTGTGTACATCAGGGCTCAAAATTTCCACTCGCCCCCCTCGCAATTTGCGAGTGAAAATGAAGCCATTGAGTCAGACACTCAGTCATGGACCGAGTGCCTGATGCCTTGCTCCTATGCTTCTGCCCGTGCATCTTCCCATATTAAAGATGGCTACATGAGGGCAGCCATCTTTAATAAGGTCCGTTCTTGTATCCTAGCTCTTGTATACCCCCTACGTGACACACTCACCCACTGCTGTCATGGTGGCGCTGTAAAAGTGAAACTACAGCTCCCATAATCCTCGGTGCACAGGCAGGAAGTTATATAACTTCGTGCGTGTGCGTGCGTCCGGGCACTGCCTCTTTAGGGGACCCTGGTCTCTCATGTGCTGGAGCAGTGCTGAGAACAGGAAGCAGTGATAGAGCTGGTGAGAGATGCTGCTCGTACACATTATCCACACTCTGTACCGATCTGGCCACTCCAGGGCCTCTGCTAGGGGAGGCAGAAAGGGGCTAGCTATATTAGGTGGAATAATGGAACACTAAATTCATGGACGTCACAATACAGGGGCAGCCCTGGGGTGAACTGGCAGACCACAGGAGGGGCTCCAACAACTTACTGTGCCACAGGTCCCCTTCATGCAGCCTCAGCTGCAATAACTATGCATGGGACCAGAGTTAGTCCCAAGTGTCAGGCCCCTGCCAGCAGGTAATTGAAGGGGACATAGAGATGGGTTGGGGTGCCATGTGTGTGTTGTGGGTGAATGTGCATGCGTAATGTCCTGTGCGTTGTGCTGTGGCTGCATGTGCAATGTCCTGTGTTCTTTGTGCTGTGGCTGTATGCGTAATGTCCTGTGCGTTGTGCTGTGGCTGCATGCGCAATGCCCTGTGCGTTGTGCTGTGGCTGCATGTGTAAAGTCATGTGTTCTTTGTGCTGTGGCTGTATGCGTAATGTCCTATGCGTTGCGCTGTGGCTGCATGTGTAATGTCCTGTGTTTTGTGCTGTGGCTGTATGCGTAATGTCCTGTGCGTTGTTTTGTGGCTGTATGTGTAATGTACTGTGCTCCATGCGTTGTGCTGGTGTGTGTTGTGCCCTGTTTGTGTTTGTTTGCGTTATGCAGGGCAACTAGTGGCGAGTAACTTTTCAGGCCTGGCTAGTGGCTGATGACCTGAAATTTTGAGCCCTGGTGTACGTTACCTGGTACAAACCCACCAAAAAAGCCATTTTAAATTCCAGGTTGTAATGCAAAAAGCAGGAAAAACACCAAGGGTCACTTCAAGCCATGATAGAAGAAAAGTTAAAACTTACCTTGAACCTATTTTGTTGGTTATCTGCAAAAGCTTCTTTATCTGGACAGCTACAACAGCTACCCATTGCTTCTTTAGACGACCATGTGATCACTAGACACAATAGTAAAAAAAACAACAGTGTTAGGAGATATTATACAACGCGCACACTAAAAAACATTTTAAGTACTATTACAGTTACAAACTGCAAAGTTGTGACCTGAATAATGCTCAGCATTTTAGATTAAATAAAAAATGTTAATGCATTTCCAAGAGCGTCAGTTAATATACAGGTGAAATTAGAATAATTAGAATATCGTGCAAAAGTTCATTTATTTCACTAAAATCTGATGTTTCAATTTCTGGTTGATGCTGCAGAGTTAATGAACCTAAAACTTTTTGATACCTTTCAGGTGTTCAAATGGGAAGAGCTCTGGGCTTGAATTGACAAGCAACAACATTATTTGGGTAAACTGGTATAATAACTTAGGGGAATGGTAAGGAAGCAAAAAGATTTTAATAAGAACTCTTGAAGTCTATTGAGGGATAAAGAAATTTAGTAATTTTGGGGTTAAGGTTGGGAGTGGGACAATGTCAAACAAAAAATGGTAAGCAAGCACCTGTAAACTCCAACCTCCATCCATCCATTATGCCTCAGTTTTGTGAGCAAACAGTACATGAGGCCCAGACCAGGGCAGGTAATCACCAGTAAGGGGAAACTGCTACCTGAAGAATGATGGGTTTCAATTAGCAATGTGGAAGACAACCAATCTTCCACCATAAAGAAAATAGGTGGAACAAACTACTTGAACGGGATAAAATAAATTGGACCAACTGCAAGGGTGGTCAACAAGAAGCAAAAGGCTTAAGCCTAGCATATCTAATCCTAGACATCCAGTAAGGAAGCAAAGTAAGGCCATAAATCCGTTCAAGGTGTAAGCTTTTGGGGAAAGGCATGGCTCAATGTGAAAAATAACATGAAAACCTAACTTTAGGTACCTCATTCAAACTTACTGCTGCCTTGGGATGCCTAAAAAGTATTGAAGATCGTATCCTACTGGTTGATCTGAGAATCTGGTATATCTGCGAAAGGTTCTGCCTCATGTATGTGACAGAAGACTGTGATGTAGGAAAGCTGAGCAAGCTCCTTCTAATTGGTAGTCTCCCAAACAATTTGGTATAGGAGCAGAGGCACAGATCCTAAAATAAAGATTTAGGATACAAACATTTCGTCTCCGTTCACACATTAGCGCTAAACATTAAAAATAATTAATTCCAATGTACAATGTTCACACTTGGACACGCATCCCCCAAAAAAGTCCAAGCACGATTTCCTGGCCGGACTCCGCGCGTTCTGGCTATAATAATAGCCACAAATGCGCAGAATCCTTGTGTATGTTAAAGTTTACGCCTTTTAGTGCCACACGGTTTCCAAGCGGAAAACCCAGCAAAAAACGCTACCGCTATGAATGGAGCCTTAGTGCACCTAAAGAGCTGAAGTAGCACAAAGTATTCATTTTAGTTTATGCAACAGAACTGTGTGTGGATTGCTCTTGTATCAAATGTATTCCGGTTGAATTAAAAAGGAATTGACCGAACATAAACATGGAGTGGCAGCACAGTACACCTGTTTTAACATTTCCAACACAATGCAAAGAGAAGCATACATAACAATACATTGTGGGGCAGAAAAAGTTATATGGATCATATGCAAAAAAAAAAGCTGCACCTGTTTGAAGAAAAAACTTTGGTAGCAGAACCTGGCCTACCTACACACATGGAAATGGTTTATACAGTCGTGGCCAAAAGTTTTGAGATTGACACATATTCATTTTTACAAAGTCTGCTTCAGTGTTTTAAGATCTTCTTGTCATATGCTACTATGATATACTGAAGTATAATTACAAGCATTTCATAAGTGTCAAAGGCTTTTATTGACAGTTACATTAAGTTTATGCAAAGAGTCAATATTTGCAGTGTGGACCCTTCTTATTCAAGACCTCTGCAATTCGCCCTGGCATGTTAATCAACTTCTGGGCCACATCCTGACTGATGGCAGCCAATTCATGCATAATCAATGCTTGGAGTTTGTCAGAATTTGTGGGGGGGTTGTTCACCCACCTCTTAAGGATTGACCACAAGCCCTCAATTGGATTAAGATCTGGGGAGTTTCCTGCCCATGGACCCAAAATGTCGATGTTTTGTTCCCCAAGCCACTTAGTTATCACTTTTGCACTATGGCAAGGTGCTCCATCATGCTGGAAAAGGCATTGTTCGTCACCAAACTGTTCTTGAATGGTTGGGAGAAGTTTCTCTTGGAGGATGTTTTTGTACCATTCTTTATTCATGGCTGTGTTCTCAGGCAAAATTGTGAGTGAGCCCACTACCTTGGCTGAGAAGCAACCCCACACATGAATGGTCCCAGGATGCTTTACTGTTGGCATGACACAGGACTGATGGGAGCGCTCACCTTTTCTTCTCCGGACAAGGTATTTTCCAGATGCCCCAAACAATCATAAAGGGGATTCTTCAGAGAAAATGACATTACCCCAGTCCTCAGCAGTCCAATCCCTGTACCTCTTGCAGAATATCAGTTTGTCCCTGATGTTTTTCCTGGAGAGAAGTGGCTTCCTTGCTGCCCTTCATGACACCAGGCCATCCTCCAAAAGTCTTTGCCTCACTGTGCGTGCAGATGCACTCACACCTGCCTGCTGCCATTCCTGAGCAAGCTCTGCCCTGATGGTGCCCCGATTCCCACAGCTGAATCAACTTTAGGAGACGGTCCTGGCGCTTGCTGGACTTTCTTGCCCTGAAGCCTTCTTCACAACAATTGAACCTCTCTCCTTGACGTTATTGATGATCCGATAAATGGTTGATTTAGGTGCAATCTTAGTAGCAGCAATATCCTTGCCCGAGAATCCCTTTTTGTGCAAAGCAATGATGACTGCACGTGTTTCCTTGCAGATAACCATGGTTAACAGAGGAAGAACAATGATTTCAAGCGCCACCCTCCTTTTAAAGCTTCCAGTCTGTTATTCTAACTCAATCAGCATGACAGAGTGGTCTCCAGCCTTGTCCTAGTCCACACTGACACCTGGGTTAACGAGAGAATCACTGACCTGATTTTTTGGGGGATTAAGTTCATTTTCATGGCAAAGAGGGACTTTGCAATTAATTGCAACTGATCTGGTCACTCCTCATAACATTCTGAAGTATATGCAAATTGCCATCATACAAACTGAAGCAGCAGACTTTGTGAAGATTAATATTTGTGTCATTCTCAAAACTTTTGGCCATGAGTGTACACTACTGCTACCTAAGCACTCACTGGCTTTCATCCCTAACATTTAGTTGGAATAATGGAAGGAAGGATGGCTCCATGGTATCCTGGGCACAATTTGCTGCAAGTCATCTCAACACATAATACCTCTTCCCAGTATTAAAACTCAATAACCATAGGTACCAGTCATGGTTTCAGGAGCAATTTTATTTAAAGAGGAGCTAAACCCTGGAAGCTGTGCGCAAAAAATGGCTGACCAAGAGTAAAGGACTAGTCACCAGTATTGCCTGTAGCGGATCTTTCCCAATTACTGACTTATCATGCCTTGTTCTGCAGCTGTGGCCATCTGGTTGAAGACATGGCTTAAGCTTTCTCATGTCAGAACCTCTAGCAAGAACACTGAGCAGAACAGTAGTGACATCACCAACACTTACTCCAAATCTTAATCTCAAACTGCAGATATACAGCCATGACACTGTAGACACATACCAGGAAATGCACTGCTATTTTTTAGGATGTATATATGGTACTCCTTAGGCACAATTAACATTTCTACATTTACCTATTTTCACTTATTGAGTTCAGTGCCACTTAAAGTAACACTTAACTCAGGAATTAAACCTTCAGGACTAGTTCACACCATAATTGCGTGCATCTGCAGTGCAATGCATTTTGCTGCGTTTTTAAAGCTTAAAATCGGCTTTCACGTGCAATCCAGTGCGTTTGCATGCGTTTTTGATGCATTACATTGCAATTAGGTGCAGCCAAAATGAGACAAGCCGTATTTTTGGTGTGCAGAAATCCCATTGGGAAAGCATTGTGATGTGATTTTGATCAGCTATCAAACTGAACTGCATCTGGTGTGAACTAACCCTCAAAATTAATTCATTCCAGGGGAAACAAAACACCCTCCAGGAGGAAGGACAGGATCAGCACAAATTCATAGATGATATGAGGATCTACACAAATAAGATACAGTTTTGTTAATAGTTGGGAATGCATTTTTAAGGTTTAACTCCTGAGTTTAGGGTCACCTTAAAGTGATCTTAAAGGAGAAATTAAAAAACAAAGTTAGGCTTTAATGAGACCCTCCTTTGCTAGAGGCTGTTGATTTTTTTTCTCTTTAAAAAAATCCTAATTTCTCATTTTCTAGTGGCTCGCCGCAGCGCACTTCCCCCCGCCCCCTGCATGGGTGCCACCATCGTTCTAATGGAGGCACCCGTGCACGCTCGTGCCCGCAGTGGCTGTGTGCGTCCATAGACACACACAGCCCTGTGGCAGGCCACGCCCCTTCCCTCTTTAAATGATGGCAGAAGGAGCCTATGGCTCGTCTGCCATTAGTATCCTCCCCTCGCAACCAGGAAGTTCAGGGAACGGAGGATCTCCTCTGACCTGCGTCGGGGACTAGCACAGCTGACAGCTAAGTGTGGAGGGGACTGTGGAAGAAAAAAGGTCCTGGGCCGTTTTTACCCTAATGCAGGGAATGCATTAAGGTAAAAAACGCCCAGACCTTAATACTACTTTAAAAGCTTTCTTAGTATACTGACTGGTCACTATAAACCAGACTTGCTATTTACAAACAGCAATACATTTACTATTGAAATAGCATTTATTTCCTCCTACATGCTTTAATAAAAGTTCACTTATCCTTTAATACATACATTTAATACATTTTACACACAGAACATTCTGAAATCACAGCAATGAGAACTTACGTAGATCTGGCCGTTAATCTCCCTAACCTTTGCTGCAGCATTAGGGCGTCAGTCGTGTACCATCACAGCATGCCGTACAAGTTCTCGAATAGCCTTTCAACCTTTACAGAGAGAAAAAAAGAAAATAGATCAGTGACTGACTTCTTACTGGCAACAATGATTCATGCTAAGGCACATTAGTGACATATTCCAAGCAACCTATGCAGGCCCACTTCCCTATCGTCACCCTGCCATCCCACACACAAATTCCTAGAGTCTATAGTTCGCATACTAGTTGCAGCACAAACCTTCCAAAAGGATCTTTACCACCCTAGGTATCTTTCTACTAATCAGCCATTACGCCAGTGTTGAACTTTTGGTAAAAATAAAAAACAGCATAATCAAAACTATCTGGAAGAGTCATCTGAAAAAAGTAACCAATCTTGTATCACCTACACGTTAAAGGACAATTGAAATATTGATCAGGCTTAAATGAATGTAGCATAAGCATCCAGTAAGAAAACATTTCCAGAGAAAATATTCATCCACCTACACATGAGTAAACACTCCCTGGGACACGGCCTGGAGACATACAGTGATCTGGCAGTTCAAGGGAATGCATTCTGCTTAAAAAGGGAGATCACACTAGAAACCTAACTGAACATCTCAAAAGTAAAAGCATTTAAATTAATTGAAAAAAACCATGAATTATCTGTAATTATATGAAAATACTATTGCAACATGAGCCACAAGTAGACTGTCGCTGATTCATGATTAAGTACTTGTAAATGCCATGGACTCTGCCCACCTATACACGTACATGTAGGGTGAGGCTAGTCAGCACACTTTGTTTGGGGATTGCTGCTTGTGTGCACCCGTGTACGATAAGGAAACAAAACAAACTGAAATGATGAGCCTGACACACCTAAATTAAAACAATTACTAAAAGTTTAAAATATGAAACAATAATAAATCAAGCTGAATGCTGCCTGTATAAATTGAGCAGAAAAAAACCCAAACACTCTTTAACCCCTTCATGACTGAGGCCCTTTTTTCAATTTTTGCACCCATACCTTTAATGACCGAGGCCTCTTTCTTTTTTTTGTTTCATGTTATAATCCACATTTTAGGCCTGAAAATTACTTCATACCCCTAAACATTATATATTTTCTGAAAGCCAATACCCTTAAGAATAAAATGGTGGCAGATGCAAATTTTTATGTTGCATGATATTAGCACAGCTTATGATCAAACCCCAAAAAGTTAGTGAAAAATGCACTCAAGTTAGATTTAGTGCCCCAAAACACTATATAAAACCAATTTTTTTTAAATAAAATATAAAAGATGAGGTCACAACGAGTAGATACCCAACATGCCCAGGTTAAAAATTGTATGTGTCTGTGAAACGGCCCCAAAATTCAGTACCACAAAAAGTTCATAGACGACGATTTAAAAGCCCCTACAGGTCATCAGTTTTGAGATACACAAATATTGACCCTAGAAATATTGTGCTCACTCTGGCGTGCACGGAGATACCCAACAACATGTGTAGCGCGATCATCGTTTTAGTACGTAGGCCCCCCATGTGATAGCATATTGGCAGTGACAGGTACACTTTAAGGTGATACTGGGGGTCCAAAAGTGTCACCTCTACACTTGGAATAAGCTATTGAAGTGCAGATCGCACTTCAATAGCTTATTGCTGGGCTTCAGGAGCCAAGCAGACAGCTATGGGACCGGAAGTGATGTAATCTGCATTGCTCCTGGTCCCAAATAATGGGGAGGGGATCAGTGAGAGGACATTCGCCGCTCTCCTCCCCAGCTTCCTGCCGATACCCAAGTGGTGGTCAGTTTATCGACCCGTAGAAGTGATCTGGCGACAGGGTAGTCGCCAGAATCGCTTCCATTGTAAAGCCGGCTCTACAAATGTAAACGTAAACAGAGTCCCGGCGGAAGTTCGTTGAAGTGGGCACGCTGCCAGTGACGTACTATGTACATCACAGGTTGTGAAGGGGTTAAACAAAGTGCTAGTAAAAAAATTAGATGTGGTGGTTACAGTAGTTTTAATCTTTTCAAGCTTTCTTTATTTTAACCTGGTAATCCAGTGAAAAACACTTTCTGGAAGGTAGCTACATTTACTTCTCCACTGTATATAATGAGGGAGTGTTGTTGCCACACTGGCTCGACTAATATGTTGTTCATCTACATTACGAAGGGGAGGTTAGTTGTTTACAGAAGGAAGACCTTTGAAAGTAAACTCTCAAAAAGTATCTGGGAAGATCACCAGGTATTTCCGGTACTTGCTGAGAAATAGGATCTGTAGCTTACCTGTAAAGTGCATTACAGGACACAGGATGACGTATTCTGCAACCTAAGGTTATGCTGCCACCTTCAGGAGAGTGGATATTGGCAAGAAAAGGACAGCATGGTATAATTCCTTCCATTCCTAGCAAACCTTAGTTTTGTAGCAAGCAATAATAGCAATGAATCATAACGGAAGAGAGGGGCCTGTAATTTATTCCAAGAAAAGGATTTTTACAGGCAAGACAAAAATCCTCTTTCTTAAAATCGTACATGACACCACAACAAATGAAGTATTCTGGAAGCTTGAGGACATCCAAAAGCAACACAGCAAACAAGTGGCTAACAGGCTCATAAAACAAACCAGTAACAACCAAGGCCTTACAGCTTACAGAGCCACTTAAGGTACCTTATGACAAAAGCCTGTGACCCTGAAACCAGAATGTTCACCTAGTACAACTTAGTGAACATGGAAACCAAAGACCAGGTGGTGACCTTGCAAATCTAAAAACCTGAAGTCTGATGCTGAAATGGCCAGGAAGCACAAAAGGATCTAGAGTAGTGCGCCTTGACCGGAAAGAGGGGGGGGGGCTTTGCCCTTGAGCTCATAAGCTTGGATAAGTTGTCAAATCCACCTAGGAAATAGCAGAATGTAGAATTCCAGGCACAAAAAAAAAATGTTTAAATATATTTCTCAATAGTCAGTCGCAAAGGATATAAATCCACTCTCTGCACCAAATGCCTTCACAAAACCAGTCATTACCTAGTAAAAGTAGTGATAAACTATCACTGTGCTGCCAACATAACATGCATAGATTAGGCTGCCTGCAGAAAACTACGGGGGGGGGCACAGGTACAATCCTAGTCAACCTGCACAAACAGGAGAAAGCAGCAGTGACTTGTCTACATTACACAAGGCTCCTGCCCAGAGGCAAAGTGCAGGATGACCGCATGAAAAATTTCTGGAGAATATACACAAAGAACACCAAGATTCAAGTAAGAATACACATGGATCTTGTATTGAGACAATATCTTCTTATCCCAGAGAGCAGCTTTAAGGAATGAAAGTAGTCTTCCAGAATGGGCCTGATGACTAGGAGACAGGCTCGAATAATGCGTACCACATCCAAACAATGGAAGGACATCTCTTTTGGATGTCTAGACACAGGACAGAGATGATAAGACAAGACAATGTTCGGGTGGCAGAAACACACCACCTTGGAAGGAAAAGAGAACCTTTTCTTTGTGTAGCACAAGGAAGGGTTCTTTACACATCAAAGCCGTCAAGGTGATGGCCACAGGGAAACAATCTTGCAAGAGAAGCCAGAGGAATATCCCTAGCCCTAGCTTGAGATCCCATGGAATCTCTGTGAAACATTCAGAGTAAGGAGCGACAGGCAGGCGGTCTCTGAAAATGAACTGCCAAGGCCAAAATTTTACCCTTTGTGGAACTCAAGGCCAAACACTCATCCAGACCAGACTGGAGGAATGGCAGGATTTATGGAGTATTACCTGGGATGGAACTTCCTTGCCTCGCACCAAGAAAAATATGCTTCCAAGTGTAATGGCAGATCTTACACGAACTTGAATGTAGGGATGACCAAATCCAAAAGGGGCCACATCTCTTAGGACCTGGGCTTCACAGCCAAGCCATTAATGCTAGCAGCCAAGAAGCAGGATGGTAAACCAGTCACTAGGAAAGAAGATCCTGACAAACCAAAGAGCCTACTAGAAGCTTGACTATGTTTAAGCACCATGTCCGCCTGGGGCAGTTTGGCGTAATGAGGATCACTGGAATCTTGATTATGCAGAGCAGACAGAGGAGGAGCTTTAGAGGTGGAAAGGTAAAGATCAAGTTGAACAGATCCTATGGAGTCACTAGAGCATCCACAGTAAAGGTCTGAGGATCCCTGGACCTGGCAAAAGTCTGCAGTTTGTTGTTGAACCTGGAAACCAATAGCTCCATGTCCAACATCCACCACCTAGGACAGAGAACCCAAAACACCTGTAGGTGAAGGGACCACTCTCTGGAGTCCAGATGCTGAGCACTAAGGAAATCCACCTGCCAATTGTCCATGCCTGTGACATGCACTGCTCTCAAGGCTGTAATGTAAAGTTCTACCCAACTCA